CACCATTAATGTGAATGTTAACATGTCAATGTGAATAGTCACACTGCTAATGTGAATATTCACATTGTAAAATATGAATGTTCACATTATTAAATTACTAACTGTTCAAAAAATATTTGTAAGGGTAGAAATGCCTATAAAAATACCTTAAATATGAGAATTAGGATTTGATAGATCAAATATTCAAATAATATGACTTATTGGAATACAAAAAATCTTATGGATTAATTGGAATACAAATACTTGAAAAATGATTTTCTAATAAATCTTATTTTTTAATATTTTAAGATTTTTTTTTTTTTAGATACACCTAATTTAGATATACTTGAGAAGTATAATATTTTGTGATTTTTTTTTAAAAAAAATTCACCAAATACAAAAAAATATAAAAATTTAATACATTATCTTATTTTGTTGTATTCAATGTATTTTTTATTTTTTTTAAAAAAAAATTGTACAAATTTTATACTTTTTAAATATATATAGATTAAATTGATCTAATCTAGATATAATGGTGGAAATAAAAATGAAAGATTATATTCATATATAAAAAATTGTACAACAAATATCACCAAAATATTGTGATAATGATATTGTTGTAAATATAAATTATGTTTATAGGTGTTTTGTTTTAAAGTGAAAGGTCACTATTAAGTTATATCATTGTATTTGAAAATTCAATATAAAATTTATAGTTGTATGCTATCACTCAATAAGAATATGTTCAGGTAGAATTTAATAATGGGGAGTTATAGAATATAGTCATGATGATAAGAAGAAGAAATGGTAGAAAAAAATGGCAAGATTGTCATTTAGAAAATTTTATGACATGACATCAGCCATCTATGAAGCAATTTGTAATGAGATTACAAATCTCAGGGAGGGAAATGCAATTTTTCAAATGTGAGGAGGATCTGTATTAATAGAAAATCAGGAGGTGTCAATGTAATTTACCCAATAAAAAATTATTATTCAAAAACGTGAACAAAATTTGAATCCAATACTTTGAGTTTCATTAAAAACACTCTTACTATTTAAGTAACATACATATTATTATTATATTAATTTATTTATTATTTATTTTTATTTTTACTTATGTAAATTGTATGCTCATCTCACTAATCCATTGGTACTTTGGTTGTGGATACATTTATGTGGGTTAGCTTAAATTAGGTTAGTAATTGATTATTACAGAACTTGAGCTCACGAATGCAGTGATAAATAAATAAATAAATTTAAAAAAAAAAAAAAAACCTACAAGGGAGGCCAATCCTAATGTAAATAACCCCATTTAGGTTTGCAAACCCTGCACAATCTCGGGGCACTGCGTTAGGGTCTATATGACCCGACCTGAGTGACCTCATCCAGATATGTCATACTCAGCAAATAACTTCGCAATGTTTCTTTATGAGCTGGTGAACTTTGGTTTCATTTGGGCTTAATTTATGTTGAGGCCTTTGGGCCAATTAAACGGGTCCGTGGTGAGCATATATATTCGTGGTCCAAATTCAAATTTTTTAGTCAGATTTGCTGCTATCTGGGTCTCTTGTTTTTTTTTTTCTTTTCTTTTTAAGATAGGGTGTATCTGGGTCTCTTGTTAACATTGTTAATTTTAATAACAATTAGGACCCAGCAGAATAATAATAATAATAATAATAATAATAATAACAATTAGGAAATAGGTTTTTGTTTTTGTAAACAGAAAATTTAATTGGTGGTGTACAAAATGTTTTTTAGAAAAATGAAAATAAAATAAAAAAACATATTTTGGTGAGTTGATGGCGGTAGGAGTCGACAGTGGAGACTGGACGGATGTGATAACTATCAGTGGGAGGTGGCTACCAAAGTTGGTTGCCAAAAGTGATAAGGTGGTGGTTGATGGCCCATGGTGATGGTGGATAGTGGCTAGAGGTGATGAGCAGAGAGGAGAAATTGAGTGGGTCTTTAGTGAATTTTTTTAAAAAAAATTCAAAAAATTTTAAGCTTTCAGAGGGTTCGTTTGGCAATGAATTTTTTAGTTGGCTCTTTAGTTTTTTTGACTTTTTTAGCCTGAGACTTTTTTAATTATTTGGTTTTCTTTTTTGGCTTTTTGCCTTGTGAATGACAAACTTTTTCGTTGATTTTTTGATTATTTAGCCCAATGAGAAAACCAAATCGGGGCTAAGCTCAACGAGATGAATCGAAAATTTTAAAATAATTCCAAAAATCCAAAAAAGACAAATAAGCAAGAAATAGCGGAATTTCTTTGGCTTATTTTGGATTTTTTTTTTTGAATTTTTGAATTTTTTTTTAAAAACTTTTTAGATTTGTCTACCCAAGATGGACCAGATGAGTAAAAAAATTGGCATAATTTTTAAAAAAAAAGTCACTAAAGACAAAATAAAAAAGAAAAAAAAAAGATGGTGTTTTTGTGACATCCCAAACGGCCCCTCAGAAAACAAGTAAAAGCACACTTTTTCATTTTCGAAAAATTTGATAATTTTGGAAATTAATTCATTTTTTTACGTTTGTTTTTTTAAAACAGTTTCCAGAAAAAATGAACAAAGAAAAACTAACAAATAAGAAGGTTAGATCCCTAAATTAATTTTAATAAGTTTTCGTTTTCACTTGTGATATTCTAAATTAATTAGATCCCTAAATTACTTTTTAAAAAAAGTAACATTTAAAAAAAAAATTCACAATAAACTAAAAGCAAGTCTTATTTATCCATTTTTCATATATGATGAACAATTCTAAAAGAATTCATTATTTATTTGTTTAAAATTGAACCTTTTACACCCTTCTTGAATCTGTTCTCCTTTCTTTCTTTCTTTCTTTCTTTATTAATTTTTTTTTCAGCTAACAAAGACAACAATGGGACTTGAGTAAACTAATATACTCTCTCTGTGTAAGGAATTAAATTACTTGGTTGTGTTTTCACTTGCTATTTTTAATATTTTCAAAAATAAAGATAATAAAAAGTTTGAAAACACACTACAAGAAAAGATGGCAAAAAAGACGGAATTATTAGCGACGGCGCGATCCCCGTCGCCAAAAATGGTATTTTGCGACGGCAAAATGAACCGTCGCAAAAAAGTAGTTTTAGCGACGGCGTTTAACCGTCGGTAATAAACTGCACGGGCGAGTATTAAAATCATGAACTATTAGCGACGGCAAGTGTTGAACCGTCGGGAAAAAAAAAAATATTTGAGACGGCAAAAGTTTGCTGTCGCAAATACTCGGCCATTTGCGACGGCAAATGTCCGTCGCAAAAAATGATTATTAAAACGGCGTCGTTTATTAATCGTTTTGTATAATTTGCGACGGTGTAAACCGTACCGTCGCAAAAAGTAAAAAAAAATTTTCCCCTCTCTTCCCTCTCATCTTGCCGCTCGGTTCCATCGCAAAATCCCTAAAATTGATTTGAAGCACAAAATCCCTAAAATCCCTAGCGGTGTCCGATAGAAATCTCTCTCATCTTGCCGCTCAATTTTCCCCCAAAATCCCCAAACCAGCGACGGGCGACCGGCGACGAACGGCGAAGGAAAATGTTTTTGAGTCAAAAGTGGTGGGGAAAGGCAAAGAAAAAAAAATGGATTAAAAATAAATAAAAAAGTGGGGAAATAAATATGAGTGGAGTGAGTATTGGATATAATAAGAATAATAATAATAATAAAAAAAAGAAAAAGGTGCACCACTTGGGTCATGTTAGTGGGAAATATGAGTGGTGTGTAAGCCAGTTGAGGTGTCGGTGGCTTTTCAAAAGTGGAGTAGAATAAATATAAAAAAAAGAAAAGAAAATGGAAAGATAAGAGAGGTTGATGTAAAAATATTAAAAAATGTGTAGATGCCATGTGTTGAGGCAAATCAAACGTGGCCCATCATTCATTCTTCGGGACAACCGCATCTGGTGATATTTATCCAAGGTTGCTGCTGGCTGCTGATGAGGCATATCAGCGAATAGATCTAAAGATGAGGGATTTGTTTGGGATGGTTGATGAGCATGCAAAGTTGGATTCGAGCTTTGTCCGCGACAAGGAGATGCGGTGCAAGACGGGAGAGAGAATGGGACATACTGTTCGTACCCGATCCAAGCAAGGGACTTCTCACGGTGGCCAGACAAGCCAGAGGAGTGGAGAGCGGTGACGGAGAAGTACAGCTCGAGTCTGATGGAGCTGGTCAGGCAAGTTGTTGGAGGTGTTGTCGTTGGTGCCGCCGAGGGCTTGGCTAGTGAGGAAAGACTTGTGGCAGATGGAGCACGCGTAGGCCGACCACTTGAAAGCTGATGAGAGAGAGGGCCATTGGAGGAGAGCTCTCGGACGAGATCGCCGGTGGCGATGTGAGGGATGACGAGGATGCAGGCCATGGTGAGGAAGGTATTGCTCTTGCTGGGTTGTTGTTGTTGTTGGTAGAGAGAGAAAGCTGGGTTGTTGTTGTTGCTGGGTTGTTGTTGATTATTGTCCTTAGAAACCCCAAGTGAGGTATACGGGGCAGAGGTGTAAGAACAGAATTTTGGAGCAGAACAGGGCTCTTAGGAGTTGGTTACCTTTGGAGTCTCAATTTCCGGCGGGTAGAGAGAGAAGAATGAGGAAGAGAACGGTGCTGCTGCGGCTGCCGTTGCCGACTTGGACGACGCCGATGGAGGTGATGATTTTACAGAGTGAGGTTGCAGAGACCAAGGTGAAAGGAGAGGAGGTATGTGTTGGAGGTTTCAATTGGCACGGTTGGGGTCCGGCGGGCGGTGAAGGCAAGGTTGCCGCCCGCCGGAAGGTGAAGATCACCTAGAGCTAACCTATAGCTCTGATACCATGTAAGATAAATTGATAGAGAGAGATACAGAGAGAATGAATTATGTATATTGATTTATGTATTGAATGTTATATGAATAAAGAGGTACACTCTCCGTTATATAAGAGAGAAAATTACAAACATCATCATGCCAAAAGAGGATCCACTAACCGAAAGTAAAGGCACTAATCTAAAGCCTAAAGCACTAACATAAAATATATTAACATGGTTTCCCCCTCCCTCTCTCTCTGTTCTCTCTTTTTTGTGTTTTATTTTTCATTTGTTTGATATCCAAATTAGAACACGTGGGTTCCGCGTGCATCATATTTTCGAAGGGAAAACAACTTTTGAGCCATTCGAACCACCGCCCATACGGACTCTGGCGGAACTGTATGATTATTACTATGTTTTAAACCCCATTGCAGCTAACCAAACGCGGCCTTAGATTCTGTGTGCTTTTGACACTCATATCATGCCCCCAAAAGCAGAACACATACAGATAATTCACGCATCAAACTTTTCCTAATGACTATTACAGGAGTTTGGTTCGGTTCCTCTGTAACTCCCCAACCCAATAGCGTCGCGTCTCTTAAATTTCGAACTAAACCCAAATCTTTAAAGCTTCATGCCTCCTCCTCACTCTTTGATTTCCCTCTCGCAAGCAAGATCATGGTTAAAAGTATGTTTTCATCTTCCTTTTCTGCTTTATATATGTAATTTATGTTGATATATATATATATATAGCTGGGTTGATTTATGTGTATTCATCTTTCTTTTCTGCTTCACATAACTATATATATGTTTCTGTTATTTAGCTGGGTTGATTTATATTTTCTTCTTGGAATAATTGAGTTTCTGATTATCTTTCCAGTTTATAATTTAGTTATGTGAACACTACCTGTTTGCTTGATGTGAAAAATTAAAACTTAGGAAATGGGTTCTGTTAAGAAGAAGAGTCATTTTGTCAATTCAATATTGTTTAGGCTAAATTGGATGTCTTCAATATAGTTTTTGCTTTTCACAGAAAATAAATAAATAAAACCCCAATCAATTAAGTTGAATTATGGACTAGGCATGACTGCCTAAGATGTTTTGGAATAGAGCATTTCAAGCCTTTCATATCATTTTCCTGTATAATGAGGTAGAATAAAAAGTTAAAAGATCTTTCCTTTATCCATAAGTGCTCATTCTGATTTTATTTTTTTCAATGAAGTTTAGAAATTTTACTTTAGTAAGCACTTCGTGAACATACTCGTGGATTTTTGGTCGCAATCAAACGGAATTAATTGGATTGATACGTTTGGATGTAGTATTGAGTAGTTGGGTGGATTATTATTATTATTTTTTGCCTAGTGTATTTGCATTAGGTTGCGTGGATTAGATGAGGAGAGAGAATGCCTAAGAAGGTATGGTTTTGTATTTAATAAAATGGAGAAAGATTCAAAAGAATGATGGACTCAAATCTAACTCCATTCACAAAGACTTCAAAATCTTCAAATCACTCAGGATTTCCATGGCAAAGGACCCAACCTGACAGTTGATTCAACAGCTAGGCACCAGTATTTTCTTTTTTTCACTTTATCGTTCATCTAATATCAACGTCGCAAGATTAATTTCCTGCAATATATGACTGATATATTTTCCAATGTTAGAGTTCATCGATTGAGAAGTTGCATTGTAATGCATAATGTGGTACCATTAGCTAGCTAAATGCATTAGGACATGGTGTCTAGTTCATAATATTCGAAGAAGGGGCAAGGCTTCAATTTTACATGGACTGCACTTGGACTTCTGTATTTAAGTGTGGGATCAACATGGTGTTCATTTCATGTTTTAATTAGTTCATGACTGTTTGACATGTTTATTTAGGCTTTATTGGTTAGTAGTTGGGGGTTTTTGTTACTTTCAATTTGCTAGATTTTGGTTGTAGAAGTATGATCCATCTAGGGATTTAAATTTTTTTTTTTTTTTTTCGGTCAAGCTGTGTTATTGGATTGTTATTTGCTATGGAAGCATGGACAACTCCAAAATTAGTGCCGTGGGGTGTCCGACACGGGGACACGCGGGGCCACGGGGCCACGCCGGGGGACACCGATGGGACACGCCAGATGGCGTGTCCCTTTAATTTAATGATTTTTTGCAGGGGACACGGCAGGGACACGGCGGGACACGCGTGTCATATGGGGACACGGCATGGGACACAGCAGGGGCCTATTTTTATTTTTATTTTTTTATTAATTTTTTTTTTTTTTTTTTAATTTAATTTAATTTAATTTTTTTTAATCTTTTGCCTCTCTTATTTAGTACTTTTGTGAAAAGATATTGTTGGATGTTGAATGTTTTTCCCCTTCTTCGTCTTAGTTCTTGTTACGTTATTATGACTTTTTGTGCATTTTTTGTGAATGGATGATCTATTAATTTGTTTAAATGTAATGGTTATGTTTTATTCAATTAATGTTACTATGTTAGTGTTTGTTAATTTTAATTTAGGATGAAATGTAATATGAATCTACGTAAACACATAAAAATATTAAATAAAATAAAATAAATTCGCCGTGTCCCCGCCGTGTCCGTGTCCCCATTTTTTGAAAATTGCCGGTGTACTGTCGTGTCCGTGTCCGTATCCGTATCCGTGTCTGTGTCCGTGCTTCATAGTTATTTGTGATTTTATTGGGTATAGAAAAGTCTTAATGGTCAAAGAGCCAAACTTATCTATTTCTGAGTCTTCTTTCTAGTAGAATTAGGGAAATCTAGTAGCTTGTAGACACGTATGTAATCTTTCTATTCCTATAAATTAAACTGAGGACATTGTGAAATTGTATTTGTTTGGTTTTGCATAACACTTGCAAAAGAGTAGTAGTACATATATTCAAATGCTTTCAAAAAGATGCAATGCACTCATGCTGTTTGAGATGCCCAATTCTCTATTTCTCTCAAGATGACATCAATTGGTTGCCCGGACATAAGTTCTTTACCTTGCATCATGAATGACAGATTTATCATATTCCACCACGGAGACTTGTTAAGGAAGGAATTTTCAAAATTTTGGCCAGATAGCCGAAGGTACATTTCATATATTTTTTTCCTTGGTTCATTGAGAAAAAAAAAAGAAAAGTGTCCTGTCTACCTATTTGTTCCATTACATGCTTTCAAGTTTGCTAATTCTATCTAGTTTCACTGACAGTTAAGCTGTTATGGATGAAAAGCGAAGAGGTCAAAGGGTATGCTTTTATTCAGTACACTAGTCAAGACGATGCCTGCTAGCTCTAGAAAGCATGGATCACAAGGTTTTACTAGCTATTCTTGTCTGTTCTTGATTTTTGTCTAATTTTTTTTTTTTTAAACTTTAAAACCTAATATAATGCCCTTTTTGATTGTATCAAGTTTTTGATGGCAGGGTGATCTTCGTAGAACTTGCAAAGCCAGGGCGCAATGCGTTGGTGTATACCAAAAACCACCGACCACCACAAAGAGCAGAACATTGAATCAAGATGAGGCAAGGAGTAGAGGAGTATCACTTTTCAGATTTCTGTTTGGTTGCAAGTCTGCC